TGTCCTAACATGGATCTGGTTCAGKCGGCCTCCACAGACACCACGGTCACTAGGAGGTCCTTCAGGAAAGTACCCAGTGTCCTGAGCAGCCTTGTGGAGGAGCCTGAAGAAAGACATCCTGTCCCCAATCACCTGYTGGAATCAAGTAAGTTCCTGCTCTCTGTTCCCCAACCTTGTAGCAATTCTAGGAGACACTTGGCTGTTTTGTTTTTTTTTGGTTTTTTTTTTCGCAACTCACAGTCAGAAATCCAATCTTGTTGCTTAAATTGTAGCTTCCTGCAAGCCCAAATCATGGGAGGGGTAGACAGGAAAGAAATAATGAGAGTGCTGATCCTGGCTGACCCTGGAGTGGCTTTTTGAAGCCATGATGTCAAGTGGTGGCAGGATTATGGATCTGCTGGGGCAGTAGATGCTACCATAGCTTTTCATTTATAAATTCATGCCTACTTAACCGGACAAATAATCTGTCTCTTTTTCTTTTTTTTCTTGACAATACCTCAGTGTAGCAAAGACTACATCACTCATCATGTGTATTTCACCTGGTCTCTTTTTCTCCCCATCTAATGATCTATAGAGATTTATTCAGAACTTCACAGGAGCAGGGTTGTACAGGTTGAGCCTGCTGTGTTACACTTTGGAGGGTATGAAGTTGGAAAACATCACCAACAGATGCTGGTAAGTTTTGGATCARGGATCCTCTTGGGGCTCATAAAAGGACATCAGAATCTGACTTGACTGCTTGTGGTCAGGAGGCCTTTGCTCTGTGGAGTGCTCTAAAAAGCAGCACTTAAATTCAGTGGCCCTGCGGTAACAAAAGAGACGAGTACCAGGCTGCGAGCATCACCCTCCTTTATACTCCCTGTTTCTTATGTCTCCATCAGTGTTAGTGGTGTGTGACTTGCACATCATGAATGAAGGATTTGGGCTTTTACTCCATAAGAGACTTGTTTTTGAAATGTCCTTTTGGATTGTCACTGTGTCTGCAAACACATTCACTGGTGGGAAAGTTTTGAAAGCACCTCTGGTCTTTGGCCAAGAACAATTTATTCTGARAAAGGAAACTATGCATAGGTTTGATTACCTTTCCTTGTGAATATTTGGGTATTTGCTTTTCTACTCTCTGCTTTGCCTTGTCTGCCTTTTTTATTCATGTTTTAAATGTGTTGAGRCAGGGGTTGGTAGTTATGGTGAACTAGGTTTTCCGATTATAATGAAAGTAAACAAATGCAGGAGGTTTTATCRGCAGAACTGCCACTATCCAAAGGTTTGTTGCTAGTAAACCAAGACAGAACCATGGAGTATTACACAATTCCTGTTGTTTCAGACATCCCTAAAAGTAGTCAATAAATGGTTTCATTTTTTTGTTCCTTTTGCAGATAAACAAAATAGCACCAGAATTTGATTTAACAGTAGCATCTTTCTAGCAAGAGTCACTGTTTTTCCATGGTTAAGAATTGTGACTTGTTTCCAAAGAATAAAAATGCAGGATCTAAGTTTTACCTGATTTTCTTTTAAATTCCAAGCATATTTAGTATTATTTCTACTAAAGTAGAAATGATTACTTCTTTGCTACAGAGGGTTTTACAAAAAGTACACTTGGCATTCCTAATTGACCTCTTATATTGTAATGTGTTTTCTGGTTTTGGTTTTCTTTTGTTCTACAGAAGCTGATAAATATTTCTGACAATGCATTAAACCTTCACATAATACCACCCCAGACAACGTATTTTCAGATCAAATACAGCAAAACAGTAAGTGTCAGAAATTCTTCAGACTACTCTTCACAGGTTTGGTGTCATATAAGCAGCTTTTACATGTCTTCTGTCTTGTTTTGGATCRTTTTCTAGCACCGGCTTCTCCCTGGTTTGTCCTATGTGGTTACTGTTGATTTTTGCCCTGATGAGTGGCGCTATTACTATGACTGCATCCGAATTCATTGTGAGGTGAGGATTCATTGGAAAATACAGAGTTGTAATGGAATGAAACTACTATTAGAACATGATGATAATGATAAAGGTATAGTTAATCTTCTACAGACACATGGATTTATTCCCAGTAAGTCTTGATTGGAGTATTTAACTTYAGGCATTAAAAATGTTTCTCTGTAAACATCCCAGAGCAATAGGTAAGATTGTATAATGTATTCTGTTATTCTTTGCCAGTAGATCAGTCTTTGTGCCACACTGACGTAATGTCTTAGCTGAGCAGCTCAAAGGCGCTCTAGAGAGTTGCATAAAGTATGGTAAAAGACAGATGGATACTGAAAGCAGGTAGAATAGTGACATAGTACAACATAGTGATAATCTTGAAAATATTCTATGCTTACTTACTGGCCAGCTACTAGAGAAACTTTTACTTCTTCTACAGGCTGACAGAGTTGGGGCTGTTCAGCCTGGGGAAGAGAGGGTTGCATGGAGACCTCAGAGCAGCCTTCCAGTATCTGAAGGGGCCTACAGGGAAGCTGGAGAGGAACTTTTCATCAGGAACTGTAGTGATAGAACGAGAAGTACAAATTGAAAGACAGGAAATTTAGGGTAGATATTAGGAAGAAATTCTTTACTGTGAGGGTGGTGAGACACTGGAAGAGTTGACATGRGGAGYTGTGGATGCCCCAACCCTGGCAGTGTTCAAGACCAGGCTTGATAAGGCTTTGGTCAACCTTGTCTAATGGAAGGTGTCCCTGCCAATGGCAGGGATGTTGGGACTGGATGATCTTTGAGGTTCCTTCCAACCCTAAAMATTCTATGATTTGCTAATTGTRAAAGATAAATATTTGCACCCTTTTATTTGTTTGTTTGTTTACAGGGAGATGATACCTTAGTAGTTCCCATGCATGCTTACCCTACTATGAATGTTGTAGAATTTCCATCATTTATAAATCTGTCCGATGTATCAGTTGGTCGGAGGTGAGTTAAGGACAGTGGTTTGTCCCCATTTTGTGAGACATGCCCAAAATCTGAAAAAAATCTCATTTTCCTCTATTTGTACATTAATGTCTYGAAAGCCTTAAGAAACTAGGCTACYGTCTGGGCTGCAAAATAATTCTGTATATGAACTGTTTCAGGTGCATATTCACAATAAAGTAAATGCTGCGCAAGCTAAACATGTCGAGATGGAGCTGGTCTTTTTTCTTCTTGTGTTTTAAAGTTTTTAATGACTTAGACTTCATCTTATTCTGTCTATTGCATGTATGTAACACTGACTGTTCTCATGAAGTAATCAGCGATAGTTGGTAATAGGAACTGGGAAATGGAAAAGAAAAAGGTAGATCCTATTGATTAGGGTCTAGTTCTGCAGTGTATTGGCTATATTATTTGTAATTATGGAGATTTGTGTTAGTGTAGATATTTGAGTGAATTCTAGGAAGTGTGAGTCTTAGTAGATGGTTTTCTTAGCCTATGAGTTGAATTTTACTGAAGCACAGAGAAATGAATAGCAAGGCACATACAAGAAGCATGCAAAAATCTGCACTAAAAGTGAGCTCAGCCTGGCAGAATAACATTTGTTATTCATATTCATATGTGTATTTTCGTTTTTCTAATCCCTTTAGTCTGTTAAACTTTAGTGAATCGCAACATTGCAGGTTTGTTACAGAACTGAACATAACACCTGACATTCTGGGGGCCTCTAGGTATGATGTGATTCTGTTATTTGCTCCATTTTAGTGCTGAAGTATACACAATCTTCATGTTCTCATAATACAGTGAAAATATTACAAAGAGAACAAAATACCATTTTAAATAATGGGATTTTTTCAAGACAAAAAGGGTTGCTCAAAGATACTCCTGATGAAATTTGGAAGAGTTTTTGAAGAGAAAACTTATGGTTGCAAACCTTAATTTTTACCAGTATTTTTCAGCATTAACCTATTAAAAACTTTGTAAAACTGAAAGCTCTCTGAGAAGGTTAGTATTAACCTCTGAGAAGGTTAGTATTAGGTTTACAAAACCCAAAGGAATCTGGGTTCAATCCATAGCGCATGAAGTCAATAGAAAAACTGCTTTTTACCTCCATTAATAGGATAACATCTATATCCTACCACCCACCATTCTCCTTAGGTACAGAAGGTCCATCAGATAACAGGTGGTATATTTGTCTTGTTTCATAGGTATTTTGGTTACTGTTTAAGMTGCACTATATCCTAAAAGAAATTGCCTGCCCAGTCTGTTGTTGCACCTTCTTTGTGAACAGGCCACAGTAAGGCAGAGAAAAAAAGAACTTGGCTATTATTGCTTATTTCTTTAGGCATCTTAAAATGTRCTTTCCAGAGGAATACTGTGTATAATATGCATTCTTTGCTAATCAGCAGGGTAGGATTTCAGTCAGACAGTTGATAAAAAACAGAAATAAGCYTGCGTAAATTGATCTTGATTTGCAGGATGATGAATGGTGGTATACCAATGCTTTTGTGTTTCAGTTCAGTCTGTGAAAATAGTTGCATACAAAGGCAAGACAGGCTGGAAAGATGTGTGCTAGTACTCCTCACACAAACTGCATGAGACATATAGGGCTATTACGAAAATTAGGCCCCGGCATCATTATTTCTACAGTGGTTAAAGTCCAGTCATTCTGACATGTTGGAGTTTTCAACCCTTTCTTTTCTCATTGTCTTTCACAAGGAGGGCCATGGCAAAAGGCTGATTTCTCATTCTGTACTCACGGTTGCTCCAGTTTGCATTGTTTGTACTTGCTAGATATTGCAGTGTGTAAGAATTTGAGGATGGACATTAAAAACTTCCAAGAAGTAGATTTTAAATTTTTTTCTGTAATCAAATTCTGTATAGGTAGGAGAAAGTAATGTCCAGCATTCAAATCAAGATTAAGCTCCCACTTCCTGGGCGAGTGAAAGATCTGAAATATTTTGCTGTTTTGGAACAGTGAGGAATTAYGATTTTCACATTAATAAGTAACCCACCCCTCTGAATAGAGGTAATTTAGTGCATTTTATGTACAATACAATTTCCCAGCTTGTAATTGATGTAATTTAATTTTTCCTTTATCTCTTTCCAGTAAGGAGTACGTTATCCCATTGCGGTGCAGCTGTCCCATAGATTTTGAATTCCACATTGATATTATTCAGCCTCACGCAGCCTTCACTGTCCAGCCAACATTTGGTAGACTGACTTCTTAAAATTCTAAATGTTAAATCTGTATTTATTGAGTGTYGTTACTTGTGACAGTATATTCAGTGCTGTACAGAAAAAAACCTTTTCCTCAGGTAGTTTTTCCAGGTAAATGCAGTCATTCATTTGCAGCCTCATGGCAAATAGCCATCTTGGCTGTTAGTTTCTTTATGCGATGCCCAGCTATGACAAAATGCCAGCTCTGATAAAATATGGGGTGTTCCAAGCAGTCTGTGCAGTCTTTATCTTCCCAGAAGAGTATCCCTGAATAAAAGGGTCATCTCAGTAAAAGTTAAGTCAGAAATTTTGGTAGCCTGAAACTATGGCTGAAGGCCATCTGAAAAGTACTAAAAAGTTTCAGCTCCTACTCAAAGCCATTGTACTCAGAGTAATCATAGAATCACAGGTTCACTTAGATTGGAAAAGGCCCTTAATGTTTAGGGATATGAATGGTGGTTAAAGTGGCTGGGAAGATAATGGAATAGGTAGTAAGGAAATAAGGTCAAGTAGAGACAGGGAATGGATCAAATCCAGATGAGTCCGCTAGCTWAGAAAAGCAAAGAGGAATATGTTTATAATGCTTTGTTCATGAAAGCAAAAAGTGCCAAAAGTTTAAGACTAGCAGATGCAAGTGAAGAATTTCTACATATAAACAGGCAGTCATTTTCATAGCTGTGAAATATTATAGCCCTACTGTCAGATCTCTCAGCTATTGCAAAACATCTATTATCTGGCAATGGACATAGTTTTTGAAAGATGCTTTGAGAACTGAAATATTTTCCATGCCTACTGCCATCCACTCAAATATTAAGTTGTTAAAAAAAAAAGTAGCCCGGAATCAATTTCAGCATGCTTAAGTGGGCTCATGTTATATGGACTCTTACATTTTTTCTGCTCTAATCACAGGAATCATTCCAGGAAATGGAAAAGTTGAAGTAACTGTGAGGTATTCCCCATTTGAGTATGGAACAGCACAAATGACAATGCAGTTACAGATTTTGGAGTTTCGCCCAAAACCCTATGTGTGTGTATTCACAGGAACATCAATACCACATCTGGCTCTGATGTATGTGTGGCTGACTGGTCTTTGAGTATTTTTGTCCAGTTCTAAAAAATACTCATGTAACAGGATTTCATACCATTTTGCTATGATCATTTTAAGCATTGGTGTCTTTGGAGACATACAATTCACAGATGTAATTGAACCGTTGATATATGTACCTGCTTTTTTACATCATTTGCTCACTACATCCTTAATCTATGTGAAGTGAAATAAATAAAATAAATATAACGAGAAATTACATACCTTTAAAGAAATGTTGAGCATCCTCAGCTCCTGTCACTCCCACTCTTTATTATTTTTATTGTTGAGGCCTTGCAAGATGCAGGGGGGTTTGAGCCTTTACGGTTATACTTAATTTTTTTGTGAAAAAGATTGGACTTAGATGCCATTTAGGGAGTACTTATGAAAGCAATATGTGTCCTTCTGCTATCTAGAAAAGAACATTTTGATGAACAACAAAGTCATCCAGAGAAAAAAGCTGTATCTGGAAAATCCTTGGTGTGGAGAAGAGACCGGTTCAGCCAACTACAATCAAAGCCTATTCAAAAGCTAAAGGTGTGAAAAGATAATAATTACAAGTACTTTTCTGAGCTGGAAATCTTCCATGTTTCTATTTCTTCTTATTAATTTATATCTCATAGGAAATTGAATACCAGAACCTCAGGTTCCCTACAGACTTGTCAAATCCGTATGCTGTAGCTACTGTTTTGATTCAGGAACCAGGAAAATTGAAGTTAAAGGACATAAAAGAAGGTAAGGTAATTAAGCAGCATAAACTTGGTTTTAGCATTATTTGTAGTTCTGATGAGGAACTTGGCTTCAGAATTGCTGAAGTGATGTGAATGTTGTTTCTAAGGTGAGAGATCTCACCTTAGATTTATTTGTTAGTGGGTACAGTAATCTTAATGGATGGATTTCACAGTTAAAAATCAGTCTAGACTGAGATGTGATAATGCTTTTTGATATTCCTGCAGCCCTTTCCCAAGGCAGAGAAGGGGTAAAAACCAGACAGATGAAGGACGCTATATTTCAACTAAAAGTCAAACAAAATGTTCAAGAAGAGGAAGCTAATCATCTAAAGTCGTAAGTGTTAATTAACCATGTTATTAACCACATTAACAAGATGGGGATTTGTGTAATCAAGGCCTCCATGAATGATGTGTCCAACATCCACTAGTGCAGAATGCTGCCATTTCATGTCCCAGTACATTTGATTTTTTCCAACTTTAGTGGTTCTGTTGTACATCAAAAATGAAACCAGAACATAGTTGGGTGTATAAGCACATCACGGTTTCATTTGAAATCCACAGATCAGCTCATGCACTGAATGTCATGAACATCTAGGCACCTTAGGAAGAGGAGAGTAAATCTGTTAAACTTCGAATAAAGCAAACTGTGGATTAAAGCATTTTTCTTGTCTCTGCTGTAAATGTAGGCAAGTTCATAAGGGAAGTGATCCAATCTCTGYGGAATTTAAAAAAGAGATTATTGAAAGCCGACAAAGGGAGGAAGAGCAATATAAGGTTAGTCATTGATGTTTTTTCTCACAGCCCTTGGGGACAGGTGGAACTTGTCGTTCTTATCCTGCCTCCTGGATATTCAAGTAGCTTCTGATATCCCACTGACTTCCAACTGTGGGAGTGAAATTATTTATAGATAGGATAATGGCTTGATTTATACACTGAAATAGGCAATATAAAACATTGTATTTAGTACTAATAAGAAGGAAATTAGTTTAAAAAGTATCTAAATTGTGAGATTGATGTATCACTGAATTGGATGTATGTTAATTTTGTTTAGAAGCATCTATTTCCTTATCTGCTGTCTGGCTATGCAAAGCAAACCAGATTTTACTAGGACAGAGATTTGATTGAAACTCAGACCTGAAAAGACTTTTTTTAAACTTTGACTTGCTCAAGGGTTGCAATAATCACACCTTAAAAGGGAATGAAGTGTGTGTTTTGTTAAACACCTCCAGAATRTTATATTGTGCATTTCACTAATTGTAATAGAGGAAAGAATTCATTGGATATTTTGTGCTAATGTGATTTTTCTTCAAATTAGATCCGAAGAGATCCTATCATAGAACAGGAGTTTCAAAGGGATGAAGTAGAAGTTTCCTTCAGTCGTGTTACCCGGAAGGTTGACCAGGTTTGTTCATATGTTTTTAATGCCTGATATGTGCTAAATTATCACCTCCCAAGCTAACAAATAGCCATAGATGTTTGCCATTGAATACTTTTCCTCCTGATATTCCTATTTCTGTGTCAGCACCTTATTTCTCATTTTAATTTTAGGTAGGGCAAGCCCCATACTACATGCACAACTCATCTGCTAATGTTCTGTTCTAATCTGAGAGTCAAGTGGAAATCTGCAGGCCTAACCTGAGATTTATAGTACTTGTTTCTGAAAGATCTCCCAGGAGAAGCTTTGTCATGCCTCATTGTAAAATTAGGCATATYACAATATTTGCAACCTTCACCTGCAGATCAGATTGACAGGATCCTTTTGGGCACTTAGATTTTTTTGCCCTTCTCTGTGGTGTCTTTCACTCTTTTTTGGGTATGTGTCATTATTGGGGTTTTGCTGGGCCCCTGATTTGAGTCCTTACGGCTATTCCAGCCCTTTGTCTGTGCAAGATAAAATGTGTATTTTGCAGAGCCCCTATCCATTCTTTCTGCTGTCYACCTACCCATGTAGTGCACTGAGGTTGTAGTCTGAGTTGGTCATTTTTGTGGATGCAAACCATGCCACGTTATCTCTGCATTCCCCATACTACATCTGCAAATACTTGGTATACTTAATACCTCACATTAAGCCCCRCAGTGAAGATTTCTGGTTAAATGCCAGTGCTGCAAATATTTTCATTGGACTGAATTTCAGTATTTAGAAATAACATACGGATTCAGGCCAAAGAATGGCTTGGGCTGGAGAAAAATTTCTCCCTTATCTAGCTGTAAAAAGAGTTGTCCTTTTTCTTTTCTGTTTCCTTTTTGAAAAATACACCATGCAGTGTCCAAGTGTCCATCCCACATTTGACTTGCTCCATAATGACTCTTGGGACAAYAGAAAGAGGATGTTGAGGAAATTCCAACAAGCAGCATACAAGGTAAAGTGAACAACCAGAATGCAGTGTGATAGCATGACACCTTAGAAACAGCATAAAAGAATGGGCAAAAGAAAAGGAGCATTCACAGCTAGCTAGGGATTTGATAGTTTGATAAATATGCCCCTACCCCACCAGGAAATGAGGATCTGGAGTAAGTTTTGTATTCAGCTTGTCTTTTATATTGAAATTGATACTAAACAAATGCATAAAAATTTAGATTTTTTTTTTTAAGTAAAAAATTGTTTTGCACAAAAAAAGGTTTCAAAATGCATGTAGAATACTGCACCCACTTTTGGGCCCCTAGTACAAGACAGACTTCAATAAGCTGGAGTGGGTTCAATGTAGAACCAGCAAAATGGTCAGGGCCTAGAGCACTCACTCTGTAAGGAGACATTTAATTTRGAGAGGGAAAGTAGAGGGAGAGATCTTCATGTGGCAAGCAAGATGGAAATGTCCTTGCCTTCTACTGTCCAGTTTGGATATTCTTCAATCTATTCATGATATTGACATCTTGAAATGAAATGCTCTTTTCTGTATTGCGCAAATAAGGCCGCATCTGTTCTTAAAACCTAGGATTCTTCATTTTCATGCTGTGGGGTATGGACAAAAACACAGTGCAGGTTGCTGCTTACTTTCCTCATTCTCAGAGCCACAGATATTCATATGGTCCTGGTTAACTGACTGTACACCCTCTGTTTAATCTGTATATGCCAGTAAACACACCTGAAGGATTAAGACCTAGCCAAAAAAATGTCTGATTAACCTGTAAAGCTAAATTAAGGTTTTAACTGTATATATTGTGTAATGTCATTATAGAGTTGAGATCCATTCTACATCTTTCATTCCCATTTTCTCCTGAACAGAAAACTATATGAAAAATTCTTAAATAGAGATGTCTGAGTGAGTTCTGGAGAATAAATACAGGTGTAACATATACAGTGTATTTCTGTGGCTGTAAATCTCTGGGTGTTCAATTTAAATTTAAAAATCATTCTCTCAGATTTTGGTTCAGATTCGTCTAAATCGTTTATTGCATCTGTTCCGTGGACTGACCAGAGAGGCCAGAGGTCTGGAGGAAGGGTCTGCATCTGGTAAGGATTAGAAGAACAAGTTGGCATTTTGGCTATGGGCTATGATAATTCAGATTGTTCTGCAGTGTGTCAGGTGCATTACATATAAACTTAAAGGCAGAGTCCTTACAAAGGAGGCTTCCAGARAAAAAGAGAAGTGTGACGAGACAGAATCACAGAGTGATTTGGCTTGGATGGCCTTTAAAGGCCATCCAGTCCAACCTYRCTGCAATGAGCAGAGAYGTAGRTCTTCACCTAGATCAGGTTGCTCAGAGCCCAGTCCAACCTGACCTTGAATGTTTTCAGGGATGGGGTCATCCACCACCTCTTTGGGAAACTTTTCCCAGTGTTTTACCATCATCGTTGCAAAAAAAAAAAAATTCTTCCTGAATCTACCTTCTTTTAGTTCAAAACCATTACCCCTTGTCCTATGGCAACAGGCTCTGCTAAAAGGTGGAAGTGTTTGTACTCAAAATACATACATTTTTCATATACATTATCCACTAGATTTTAAAAAATTTAATTACTGTTCTTAAGAACCTTGCAGCTTATCTACTTAATAAAAGGGCAGAAACTGTGTATACTCCATCATTGGAACTGTTCAAGGCCACGTTGGATGGGKCTTTGGGCAATCTGATCTAGTGATAGATATCCTTGCCCCTGGCAGAAGGGTGGGCTAGGTGATCTTTAAAGGCCCTTTCTAACTCAGACCACTCTGTGATTCTATGTATAGGCCTGTGGAACAATGGAAGGGCAGATGGGACTGTATGAGAAACAGGGAGATGAACAGATCATTTGAAACACGAGAGGTGAGAAGCACAGGATGAGAGGAGCTTATTTCAGGGGAAGTGGAAGGGGAAAAGGCACCTGAATGTGATGAAGGCAAGTGAAATGAGACAGTAGGAGCCATGAGACACATTGCCCATAACATTGCCAGTGGCCAGTACTGAGTTGAGTTTTTGTCCTCACTGTTTTCTCTTAAAATTGTTTAATAAATTGCTTTTTTTTTTTTTTACTCCGAAATAAAAGTGCTGGTATGGAAAAGTGACTTGTTATTTAGCATCATAGAAGAAAACTGGCCTTGGATGGGAGTCACAGTTGGGACAGAAGGGAGACAGAAGAATTTGGGTCTCATTTCCCACTCCCTTGTAAACACACACAATTTGACAGTTCCTGAGACACACTGTTCCGTATCAGGCCTTTTCCTGCTTCTGCAGATAGGCTCTTTTAATTCCCAGGGTGCCAGAGATGCAGGAATGCTGCAAACTGAAGGTGTAACGACATTTAGWGTAAGAGAGGCCTCTGACTTCTCTCAGCCTTGCTGAGAACCATGCTGAAAGGAGTGGGCTGTAATCTCTTTTTAAGAAAGGGGAAATTAAGTCTTATCTTGTAGATGKGACATTTAAAGTCTTTAGGAAGTATTAACTTTTTATATTAAAATTACTAGACATCCTGGTTTAGGAAAATGTTAAATACATTTTGTGGCTTGATTCTATTTCTGAAATASTGTATTAAGATACATTACAAAGTTTTAATATTTGCTTTCCACTTAYGACAGAAAGCAGGAGTTTTAGCAAGCCAGAGAAGAGTGAAGAACATAAGGGCTTTTCTTCCAAYATATCTGAAGATCGTATATTTCCTTCGAAATTCCCCTTTTACAGTTCCCAGGAACTACAAAGTTATTTGGTAGGTACTRAAATGTTAGTGAGCACTCTACATAGAATTTTGCTGAAGACATTGGCTCTAGAGCTAGTAKTCCCTTTATTAAAATTTAACATTGTGACTGGTGTTCTGGGAGATCTTGAGATCCTGACAAATTAATTCAGGACTTCAGATTTACTAAGGGTTCTRCTGGAAACAGTAAAAAAAAGGTTTTCACTCTCTTAATTATATTCTAAAATGAAATACATTAATGTTCAGAGTTAGTTAACATCCATTTTTCAGAAGAAAAGAAAGAAAAACAACTGAAATACTGAAGTTCAAGAAAGAACAGCAAAAATATCAAAGTATATAAAATAAATATTTGCATCATTATTTCCATATGTTTTCAATTAGCTGTGCTTGTGGATTGCTGCCAATACAAAACCAAGTGCCCACCAWATTACTGATTTTAAATATTGTTCTGTTTCAGTCACCTGATGCTCTTGGCCCAGTTCCTATTGAATCTGTAGACGTAAAAGTTGAACACATTCTTCCTTTTTACGACTTGAAGGTAAGTCAGTACAGCTCCCTCATGTTTCTCTCAYCTGTCCAGTTAAGCATTTTCAGCCTGATTCAGTGGAGTCTGTGCAGCCTGGTAAAATGTTGCCTAAATAAGTGTGTGATTAGCTTTATTAAAAGCAAATCTCACCAGTTTCCATAAGTAACAAGCTTATAGCCAGCAATAGTCCYCTCTCTCCAGACTGAGATGAATCACCTCAGCTGAAATTATTGTATCTCAAATATCATAGTCCTGGTGAAGTATGGCTCCTCAAAGGTTTGATRATATACCGTGCTCTGGGATAGAGTTCCAAGTGTCTTTTACCATGGTGATGTGTCTGTGATAAAGCAGAATGTTCATTCCATTTATGAGTTAGCTGAAAGTGATTATTGTCATTTCTTGCAGCACATCTTTTTTCGTTGTTCTTAGGTTCCTCAGCATTACAACATCATGAAGTATCAGCCAGTTTGTACACGCTATGCAGCTACAAGTTACAAACCTATAAAACTTGCCCGACCACTGAGGCAGGGAGCYGAGGTAACACAGTCACTCCCAACCCTACATTTCTACAATTACTTGACTAATTTTGTTTCAATATTTTATGCCGAAAGATTTACTACASTCTGAAAACCTTTGATGTCTATGTTTTTCAAGGATGAATTGATTCAAGTAGGCCCTTCTTCTGAGGGACAGGTATCTCAGAGGACGGATTTTCAGAAAGAAGCAGCAGAAGGGGATATCAGTCTCTCCAGAAACCTGGTTCCTCCCCAAGCTTTAGTCCACCCGACAGAGAGCAACCCACTTCGTATTTTTGTAAGTAGGAGTTAACTCCCATGAAGACCCTAACAAAGTAGCAGTAGTGTGTTTTGTCAGAAATCTGATRTGGAATTTGTGGGCAGTTTTCTTACTCAGATTGGTTATCCARCTATCCAGAGTGAGAGTAGTCCTTCATGGTATGAGCTCTGGCAAACAGGAGACACAGAGCTCATCCCACTGAGAGGGGACACCATTCCACTTTAGGATGGATTTTGATCAGTTTGGGGAGGAATGATAAAGCAGAATTTCCAGTGAAAGCAGAGAACTGGAGTCTCTTCCAGTCTGACACTCAATGATCAATAATAATGAGATTTTTCTGAGAACGTGATGGAACCCYTCCCTTCTTCATTTCTTTCCCCATTTGGCTGTTAGAGGAATAGTCATGATTTTGGCCTCTCAATTCTTCTGYAACCTCATGCCTTTGCCCAGGTAGGTAGGACAGGTGGAGTCTTTTCTACCGTTCAGCTGCGGGACTACAGTTCTGCCTAATCCTTGGGTGAACTGAGAAAAGTGAAGTCAAGGCTGCATCCTGCTGCCTTACAGTTTTTAAGAGTTCTTAGAGCATCACAACCACATTCCCATATTATTAGGCACACAGATTCAAAAAATCACCATCACTTGTGAGGGAGGGTTTTCTGTTAYTGTTGTCATGTAGATTGTGCTGCTTGGCACAAATACCTGCAGGAGGTATTTCCCACACAGTGCAGCGCAGCCCAGAGGTCCCTGAGGTTTCCCTAAGCAGGCAGAAACAGCTGTAGGGTGCAGAGCAGTGCAGTGCATGGGCACAGGCAGATCTCCCAGCCAGCATGGCACTGTGCCTGGCTTGGGCAGCTCTGCCTTCCAGCATTTCTTAGCTGCAATGGCCCAGAGCCCACTGTGCTGCTCTGGTGACCTTGGCATAACATACATGATGTGGACTTGTCCTCCCTGCACGCAGCCAGGACTCCAGTGGACTTGCTGATGAGATYCTCTGTGCATCCTTTTCATCCCTCTGTCATATCAGTGAAAGAGCCAGGCACAGCTTGATCCCACACTAACCAGCATTGGGCTTTATCCAGAAACAGATGCTAGCAAAAGGAAACTGATGGCAAMATGTTCACTCACCACAGTGAGTCCKGTTTCCTTTCTTGRGTTCTGAACTGTTCAGAGAACCAGCAATGGATTTTAGAGTAATTAGGCAATAGTTTTCTCCCCAGATTGGAGCAACAGCTAAATTGCTATATTTTAGACAGTAGTGAGCATGAATAAACCYGACTGATTATAGGATGAAGGGAAGAGACAGAAAATTAAGGATCACACCAAACAGAACAGTCTCAGTGAGACAAAGCTGTGAWTCTGGGGAGACTACATTAATTGTAAGAACTGAGTTTTCATTAATTTAATTTGTTATGGTACTGAGAACAATTTATTAAAATAATAYCTTCTTTTTTTTAGAATCCCTCTCCAGGACTAGTTCCATTTGTACTTCCTTTGGCCTACTGTGAATCAAATATTGAATATCATGTTTGTCCTCATCCAAAATACACTTTTACCAAGAAATGCCCCAAAGGATCCAGTATTCCAATCACACAAAAGAAATTTCTGGATCACAAGGTATGGCCTTTTGAGTTTATTGTGTGAGTACCTGCCTTGGATATGTTCTTGCTGAGAACTTGCTCTAAGGAATCAAAAAGGAAGTTGGAGTCATTCTAGATAGAAGATGTTTTCAGATATAAATTATGCATGCACCTAAAAGTCAGTACATGARTTAGAATAACTTAGTTCTTGTTAGGCTTTATCCCTGTCTCTTACTTATCCCTGAGTGTTTCTTTGCTCTTTCCATGTGTTTACTGTTGTATTTTCATGACCTTATAATGATGGAAGGATCTTTGAAATATTTAACTCCCCATATTCAATTCTCAGCCAAGTTGCTSTGTCCTACAATCTCTCTCCCCATGCCATTATGTATTAGACATCTGATCATTGTAGCACTTGTCATTTCAGGAAGTGATTCGTGGAGTAATGGAATGGAGAAAATTCTCATCATTGGAGTATTCCACTTATTCTAGCATTCCCCCTCAGACAAATGCAACACCTAGGTAAGAAAGATTAGAATATGCAATACCTCTACCCTGCACACAGTTTCTGCTGTCTGTAACCATACTGATCACTCACTAGTCCCACAAATCAAAGTGGGCCTATAGGTGGAGTTAATTGCTGCTCAGAAATGCAAAACCAACCAAAAAACTTCTACTGAACTCCTAGAAGGATGGGTTAGGAACAGTATCATTAGAAGAAATGCCTAGCCCAGAAAGGAGAGTTCCAGTCTGAGCTTTCARTAACATCTCTTCTAAAAGCTTATTGACTCAGTCCTAGAAGAGCCCAGGAGTTACAAACTCTGTCTGTCCTGCGGGGGAAAGAGCAGTAAAACCTTTAATTTATGGACACTTGCACCCAGTGGTAGCCAGCAYCTCTCAGGCTGAATTCTCTCATATCACAGCAGTTTTTGGTGCACTCAGATTTTCCAAGAATAGTTGAAATCATCTTCATTGTAACTGCAACTGCTGTGAAGCTTCAAAAAGTAAAAAAGTTTAGTGTACTTTAGTATTCATGCATTAAATGAATACCATTTCCAACACAGGGATCCTTACAGTTTAGACATGCTTCCAACAGATGTACCACCAGTGCTGTGTGACTTACCTGAGAGAGACAAGGAGAACATAATTGACCAGTAAGTTTCTTCTCTTTCTGTATGTGGTGTGATTAATTACGTCTAAACCACTTGTATAGAGGTCAAAACCTGTCCCAAGAGATCCTCAAAGGCAAAAGCACAGAGTCCCTCTTGCATAAAACATACTTTTCTGTTGGCTAAAAAAAGTCTTTTAAAAGGACAAAGGCAATTTGTTCATGATCTTACTAATTTTTAGTGAGACAGATGAAGCTGAGTTCAACATGATTCTTACTCCAGAGATGGTGAGAGCYGAATTTCCACAGATTGGAGAGGCACTCTCAGAAGAAGATGAAGAATCAACAAAAAAAGAAAGGTAGGTATAATATGAAATTAGGAGAGAGGAGTGGAAAGAAATCTGAAGTCAAGCATTCCTTTCAGAATTGCATAGAAAGTCATACGGAGATGCTCTAGGGGCTCTATCACAATGCAGATCTAGTACTTAGAGCAAATTTGCACTGCAAATTCAGTCTCTGGATTTTACTTCAGAAAGCAGCTGTGCATGTRGCACACTGGCCTGTATTTCTCTGACTTTGGTTATATCGGTATGATCTAGAACTTGAGGCAGTTTTCTTGCTCTCTCAGAGATATTCAGCATTCTTGGACCAGTAACTTCTACGTTTCAGTGATCCTTTTGGTTTGATATCTATTAATGCTTGCAGGGGAAAGAGCCCTTAGAATTTCCTCCTGGCCTGGTGCTTTTTGCTCAGGCTTTTCCTAGGAGTGTTTGCTCTGTGTGAGCTTCATACTCCCCCAACACACATTACAGCAGGCACTGTGGGTGATGAGTGACTGCAGAGCAACACAGGTGAGAGGGTTAAATTCTAACCTTGTGTTTTCACCACCCTTGGAGCTTGGAGCAAGTGAATWCATTTTTGTCCAACAGTTGTCCCCTCTTTGAAGTAGTCATGATGTAGCTTAGATATCAGGATGTGCAAGATAACCTGAAAATTGCAGAGCTATCAAGGGATTTGAATGTCTCCTTTTAGAGGGGAATAATTTGATTAGCATTGAAATCTTGCTCAACTGTCAGCCATTAAACTTTAAAATAGTGCTTTAAAATATTGTGAGGTCTGTGGCAAAACACTGATTGCTGTCTGATGATTACTACAGCACTGATTGAAAAGTATTTGCTGTAAAAAAGTAGAGATGTCGCCCTCTGTGCTGTTTTTCACATTTTATGACACTGCTTGTCAGAACATGGGGATTTGGGACAGCTTGTGTAACTAAAGAGTGACTTTTTTCCTCCACAGTGATACATTGACGGATGGTGCTTTACTTGCGTGAGTAGTTTTATAATCATGAGTTTCTTTTTTTTTTTTATGTCTTCAGTGTTCTCAGAAAAAAATGAAAATAGTTTTCTGTATTAGACAACTCTGAGTATTGGTATTTACAGGTTGAAATCTTCCCTATTATTCTGTTTTGTAAAGAGGGAAGCAAAAATTTCTTTGTAAAAAATGAAGTCCCAATCTTTTATGTTGTCACTGGAAGGTTCTTTGTTGTTATTGAGGGGGTGGTATTTCACCAGATGACAGATTGCTCCTCCACAGCAGTTTCTGCATTTTTATCCTTAAGGCAAACCAAGTTTTCATGTGGCTGCTCTTGTTCAGGCAATCACATCATATGTTCCTTCAYAGATAAAATGTAAAAATCAGTCAGTTTGTTTTACCTGTCAGATGGTTAATTTTCCTAATCGGCGAAGCCAAGAGTTAAACGTTCTTTCCACAGTTTCACTACCTTTCCAGTTCTACATAGGTAATGGAATACCCTTTGTGTTCATTATGTAAAAAGAAATTGCAAGTGTCTCTTTCTTTGACATTTGTCAGCATTCCTAAGTAGTTTCCCTGCTTATTAYAAATACAAATGATGCTTTAAATTTCTTGCAGAGACCCACGCAATGGTCCAGATGGACATTTTCAACCCCAAACCAATGAGCTCGGAGAGAAGGTTCAAAGACATCTGGAGACATTGAAGCTGGCAGCACTTAATAAAAACCTTATTCTGGGATAAGAGTCCATGGCCTGGCCCTGCTGAATCTGTTAATGTGTGGGGCATTCCCTGTCACAGCTACATTTACTGTTGTTCAGTGAGATTAGCAACTTCTCATGCAAAAAGTAGAGAACCAACAGTAATGCCACCTCTGTCAAGGACTCTCACTGCACCCACTACCCCAAACACAATAATTAGTCCAGTGAGAAACTTCAGTCTTGCAGCTGCTTATTTGTTGTGGTGTGAAGGACCAGAAAACCTCAGTAGTACCATGTAAATAGTTTGGTAATTAATTTACAGCGCACTGTTTTCAAATAAAATGTGAAAGGACCTCATGACCAAATTCTTCTGATTTTTTTTTTTTTTTTAGTTACGACCTATCCTTGAATTTTTGCAGGTAAGTTGCTAAATCTCAGATTTGTCAGTAAACCATACATTTGATATTTTTAAGGAAAAGGAAGACTTGAACACCATTACTGTCCACTAAGACAGTGTCCAAACAAGTCTCATTAGCTGTTCAGGAGTTTGATTCAATGCACAGCCCTTGGCAAAAGGGTGCATGGGTTGAGTGAATGAACTGCAGAGCCTCATGAGAAACCTGTAACTTTCAGGGTGTATTCCCTAGGCAAGAAGATTTCTCAGCACATCATCTTGCAGCTCCAATGTCTCCTACTTTCTTCGGGCAAGCTGGACTTCAGGAAAAATTGGTTTTCTCCATAGTGAGTTGGCTGCTCATTTTGAAAAGTGATCCAGGCTGTTTGTGCTGAAAAGCACCAATCGTCTATACTAAAAGGCTTGGAAATTGCAGCAATACACACTACATTCCTAGGGGCCATGTTTCTTTCCAGGTATACTTAAAACCCCTAAGAAAAGCAGTTTCAGAGATCAGAGAGTGACCAGTTTAGACAAGCTGTAAAAAGCCCAGGGAGACCGGAGACYGAAACTGGGAAAGTAGGGTGGAAAAGCTGCAGAATAGCCTGTATTATGCTAGCTACAAACTATCTCTGCTCGCTTCAAAGAAATGAAAAGCTGTTAAGTTTCTGGTAACTGTCTAATTGACAAGGGATTGTTCAGAATGCAGGTCTGGATATCTGCTGATTTCTCTAACTACAAACAATTGCTTAAATTTGTACACATGCTTTTTTCCTTCTGCAAGTCCTGAGGGAGGCAGCTGAYCTTTTAAGAGATTAGCCAAGAGCTGAGCATGTTTCTTAACATGACCATAACAAAAATATGCTCACAGTTTACAGTGAAAGCATTCACAGATCATAATTCACAATTTAGGTTAATCAAGCATAGATAAGTCTTTGGAACTGTTATCAGCTAAATGTCTAGTCTAGTAAAGATGGAGTAAGTGTTCAGAAACAATAGTGATTAAACAAAGTTAATCCCTTTTTCTTACAGCAGTATCACCTTTCCTCCAGTCTACAGAACAGTTTTCTGGTCATCCTAATGGAAATTTATCATGCTTCTCCATTCTCCAGTGGTGGACACCARCCTTCAAAGAAATTAACCCCTTTTCTGTGGAAGTGATCCTCCTTTCTTTGTTTTAAGGCTTTTTGGGGCCAGGTTTCAGTATGCAGAGAAGGTAAGAAAATACTAATACCTTCCACTAAAATCTTGCTAAAATTCCAAGGGACTGATCAGTGTGCAGATGTCTGTGCATTGTATCCCTTCAGGATATGGAGCCAATGAGCTATCAGACGCAATCCAGCTGTCTTAAAGAACATGAGGTTTGGTTAAATAATATGAAGTCTCAGGTTTTCATGAGACCTCATAAGTCAGCCCCTTAGACTGATATCTGAACACTTTCAGAAATGGGATGTAAACATTAAGAATTATTACCTACAGTTGGTGGGTTTTCACAGTTCTGTGTTCAGTGTTTGATGAAAAGGACTGAGATGTTACAGAAAATTAATTGGTAAAAAAAGGACTGATGTAATGGAAAATGTGCCTTATTTTGGGAATCYAAGGGCTGCATTTTTACTGATCAGGTGGGGAAGTCAAAATGTGTAAATTGATGTACAGAATGTGCARACAAGTTTATTTCCATACACTGCGAGTAAAATTGCTACTGCTTCCCTTGTTTGGAAAGGATTAATTGGCTAAATAACAATGCAGCTGTTTTACTAATTAAGATACATCCATTTTGCCTGAAAGAGCTTGTCCTATTAGCAAGGTTAATAAACACTGACTCACTCTTTAGCTTTTCTCCTTCATATTACATAAATTAACACTAACCTCTAAATCAAATAAAAGGTGCATTTTAAAAATTAAGAAAATGTTAATGTGGAAATGATCCATGATCTTAATTGCTCAGTAACTGGGTTATTAGTCTCACTTACTGCTCCATGATGAGAGAAAACCCATCAAGGTCTTTAAAATGTAAATTTATTATATTATATAAGAAGGCTGGGAGAAAAACAGCAGTGTGTGTCTGATGTAAAGAAATGGGTGAAATTATATTTTCAGCTCCTAAGAATTATTTAATGAACCTTGTTATCTTTGAATTTGTAATGCAGTGTTCAGTTATTCTAAGGTCCAGTTGAAGGGGTTTTTTTTTGTCATTTGGTCTTTCTCCTGCACAGATTTTCTTCTGTCTGTGCTCACACTGCATCTTTTAGCTTGTGGAAACACCTCAAATGCTTCTTTCCAGCTGTTTAACCATGGAGAATTTTAGCTCTTGCTGAGACCTCTCCTGCTCTTTCACTTTAGTTGGAAATAGCCAGAAGGTTTATTATTTATTGAGTGATACGTAAATGGTGTAATTTCCTTAGGAAGATGGATATAGGTAGAGAATAAGGACTTGTCTGTGTTCTGTGTGGGTAAATCGCTTTGCAAATGCAAAGTGCTGCTCTGCAATCTGTGAGTACATAATTCACATTATCCATTTGGAGATGCGAAACCACTGAAGTGAGGGCTTCTCTCATGTTTGAAAACTACAGCTGTCACTGATGTACCTARGTTTTGCATCGAAAAACCTATTTTCTTTTAGTTATTTTAAGGCAGAATTGGTTTGAAAATTGTTTCATCCTCCTCCGCTTTCTGCTTCTCGTGCTGTGAGTCTGTGCACTGAGTGCCAGCACTGGTTGCTCAGAATAAGTCCTTTTCAAGCAGTTGCAGCTTGATAAGGCAGCCTTCTCMAAATGTTTGGGGGTTTTGTAGTTTTGGGTTTTTTTTCCCTGAAATCTAAAAAGCCTTCAGAGAGGAATTCTAAGCAGTGACCAGAGTCTGCAACTATTTGGACTCTTTGGACTGCACTCTTCCAGCCTGAGCAGCCTCTTTGGCCTCCTCYGGCTCTGCCTGCTGCCAAAGGGTGGTCAGTGGTAGCCACTTTGGTGTAGGGCCTGAAGAACCATCAGGAGCACAGTGCTACAGTCACACAATTCTTCTCTGGRCCTTGTGGCTTGGGGTATTGTCATTAGCAGGGTCTCTTGAGTTGCTTGGAAGAGACTTCCTGTCATTCCCAGGAATGCAGTCCCATCCATACCACTCCCACAGACTGAAGGACTTGGTCAAAATTGTCTTGTGATTCTTCATTTTTATGGACCTCTCAAATAATGTGTCATTTCTCCAAAGCTGGAATTGGTCAGAAGGGTCCTGTAAATATTGCTGTACTGAGTAATCCTTTCATTCACTGTGTTCCTCTGTGTCCTCCAAGAAAGCTGAATTCATCAAAACAAAAATCAGTGCAATATCCTGGCAGAAACTTCACCCCCCTCCCAAAAAAAAAATCCAACAGCCACATGATTTGACAAAAAAAAAAAAAAAAGCCAGACACATCTGACTGGGCTATCTTCTACCACTTAACACCTGCAGAAGGTAATTGGTCGTGAAGGACCTACCAGATTATATCTGTATGACCACAGCAGGGACTTGAAAATTAAATCAAGCAGCTCCTGAAAAACTCCAGGTGATTTCAGAACACCTGCAGGAAGTATTTTTCCAAAGGACTGGTACATCAGAAAACATCTTCTGATGAGCAGCTCACTTGTGCCAGGTGCTGTTTAGTTCCAGCACATTCATGTTTTACTGTCCAAAGGTTAAACTGTGCTTAAGTGAGTGAGAGCTCTCCAAAGTGAAGAGCAATAGCATGTCCTAATTCCTTTAAAGAAATAAAATTTCCAGTTCAGGACCCAGCCCTATTGTTAGCTGAGCACATTTTTAATGGTTAGTTTTTCCTTATGTTTCTAAATACTTCCGTCAGTTTCTAGGAGTTTTTAATTGCACAAGAGACTGAGTTAGCAGTGCATTATTTTTAATCAGTTTATTTTATCTGGCTTCAGAATTCTGAACCAAATTATCACCATCACCAACTAATTACTGGTTTATAATAATTTCACAGTGTGGAGTCTCCAGTAATCCAATATGCATTGCCTACAAAACAACAATGCACTGTTTCTCCTCGGGGATTTTGGCTGTATTCATTGCTGGCTGAGTTTCAGAGCACCAGATGAAGAAACCAAGGTTTATTTCCCTTGAGTTTGGATTTGCATGATTAGTTCTCTCTATGTTAGCCTGAAAATGGACATGAAGTATCAAGAGAGAATTTATTTCAAAAAATTCTCTTTTTGCTTCCCTGCCTCTGAAGCACCTTTCCCTGCAGGCAGCATCACATTTCAACCTCCTTCCTACTTCTGGTGACACAGCAGGCACAGATGTCCATGTGCAGGTACTGTGAACAATCACAGTCTTTTTACAGACTGGTACAGGAAAGCTCAGGATGCTGCAAAGTGTTGATGGATTAYGTCCACTACCAGAGCTAATGACCAAAAGCTTCTGATTCCTTGTGTAGGATACAGACCAGAGAATCTCAGATTTCTGAAGTTCAAATGTTCCTGGTAATAGCTCCTCCATGTCAAAGTGAGTATTCCCATCCCCTGCTGGAACACAGCATAATTTGCAGTAGCTGTTTAGTAACACAGCCAAATGGCTGAAAGGGAACAATGCAGCTATGTGTTGGCTATGACAGGAAAACTCACCTTGTCACTTGTTTATCCCTTCTGCAAGCACCTGTCCAGCTGCTTGGATGAACCCATCCTCTGTGGATGCTTCCTCCTGGAAAGTGCTGAAGATCCTACTGATGAGTTGTCTTTCAAAGCTGCCCCACAGTGCTGGGGTTCTAATCCAGCAAGGTTTTCCTGTCTGCAGCCTTCCCTTTTAATCTGCACTACTGGAAGTACTGGTTAATGGAACCAGGGGAACTTCAGTGCTGTTCCCAGTGCATCATCCATCACTTTTCTATCAGTCAAATTAGTATAGTCACATTCTTGCCTTGCTAAAAGAGGCTGTGTGCTTCTATTCATGGTACTGACAAAGAATTCACACA